TGCCTTACCTTGTAAGATTTATTTATTTTCCTATGTAGTGTTCATGGAGGATGTGCTCTGTCCATTCTCGCTTGGTGTTTGGCATACAGGAGAGAACATACCACCATTTCCTTTCCTGTTAGTTGCCCTCTTGAATTACTCTGCTGACTGATGAGTCTTGCTCTTTATCTGGTTTTGCTTTTGTAATTTTTTTCCTTTCCTTAGATTGCTGTGCTTTCACCAAAGGCCTAATTTGAGTCAGATGCCATCCCTGAAGGCTTTGTTCCATCTTCTGATCCCCACTGAATACATTTAAGGTCTTGGAAGTGACTACGTGCCCTAGTCTTTCAAACATCTTATGATATAGGAGCTCACGTTCCTGAATTTCATTTGATCAAATGTGCTGTGAAAGTAGTCTCCTAGCCAAGAACTAGTAGTCATGCTGAGGCTTGTTCAGTCAAGCCAAAAATGGTTTTGATCTCATTACCCTTGAAGATTCCTGTCGTATTTTATTCAGGAACCAGCTGGTTAAAAGGTCATGGATAAAGTGTCCACTTTCGCACTCCTTTTCTTCAGATCTTGCTATTTGCTCTTGAGATACTGAGCCCCACTGCTTAGGGGACCTTATTCAATAGACCCCTCGGCACCAGGATCATGTCTTATGTCACTGCTGTTTAACCCATAGGCCACTCTTGATGCCACATTCTCTTCAGTTGCCTTGGCTGTTCACTTTCATTATCTACCATGAATGGCAATCACAAGAGCCACCAGAGAAGTGCAAGCATCCACGAAGAAATCTTCCCATCAAAGATAGCATGGGAATTCTTAAGAGAGAACCTAGTATGCATTCCCCTGGAATCTTCTCTGTAGCTCCTGGAGGGATGATGTTTTGCCTCACCCATTGACCACCTTGGACTATTTTGCATGGTTTCTGTCTGGGACTGACATTGCCAAGAAGCAATATTTGGTTCATAACAATCTTCGGTTCATTTTTTCAAATTGGATTGGTAAAGATGGTAGGGAGAGTACCAGACCTCTCTTCTTCTGCCTGTTTTGTGCCTCCAAATTTCACATCAACTGGGATGCGATTGCCGTATCATCTTGGAAGCTTATTATACCTTATGCTTGGACCTGGATATGGATGCTTGGGATACTCAGTTAAGTTTGCCTCCCTGCTACTTCCCGACTAAATGTTTCCATTCTTTTACAAGGATTCTTCTCGCATTCTTTCTTTGATAGGAGAGTAACTGTCTCTAATCCAGAAGATCTGTATCCTAATCATACAAAGCCTGGTTCATAGAAAGAGTGCTGCAGCAGCTACTTTCTTATACTCAAGCAGAAAACTTTGGGTTGGTGCCAGATCTTAGGCTTTTGCAAGATGAACTTACGCATATACAGTTTCAAGTTCTGGATTGTGACTGTATTCAGTATCTTTCCCAGAAGTTCAAGGAGAATGGTTCAGATTTCTCAAATGGCAGGATGCTTACTTTGTCTCCAGTCTATGGATGTCTTGAATGTTATTGTTTCCTCTGTCCCTGTCTCAGCCAACGTTTGCCCAGGTTCTGGTAGTTATCACGATGCATCTTCACTGCAGAGGAATCTGGTTCCTTTATCTCAGTGCCTGATTTGTGAAAGGAGTTGTTACAGAACAACTTTGTGAAGCTTTCAGTCTTTTTCCTTAGATTGTGAATGTAAGATAGCAGTACCTCATTCCCACTCAGTCCTTAGAATTTATCATAGTTACCAGTTCTGTGTGTTCCACGTGGCTTCAGTCTATCACATGATGGCACGACAGCCTGCCACTGCAGAACTTCTTCTCTTGGAGACCTGTGGCAATGTGTACACTTGTGCTGAGACTTTTTTTTTCCAATTTAAATGTTGTACTTTGGATGCTTGCGTGACCACCTTTAGAGTCTAGATTCTTATTCATCCTTACCTAGGAAGTTGGCTTGCTTTATGCCTATTGCCCTTCCCAAAAGAGCAGGGAAAGATTCAGGTCCTTGTATTGGACATCCCCATATGCTGTTTTCTTCAAAGATCAGGTTTCTCTGGAAACCCTGCAAATACCTTCCACAATGGTGGTAGAGACATTTTATCCTAGCCTTTTAGTATTTTTCCTAAGTCTTCATGCTTCTAGAACAGAAGTTATAACTAAAGACTGTAGTGCAAGAAGGGCCCTCTTGTTTTTATTCTCAAGGACCCAGGCCTTTTAGGAAGACTTGCTTGCTACAAGAAGATCCTGGAGTTCCACTGTTGGCACACAGTAACAATCCAAACGGTAATCAGTTGCATACAGATCCACTACGAAACTGTGGAAGTGGAAGAAGAGAGCACTTTGTAGCACTCATCAGGCACCTTTGGTAGTAGCCTTCTGCTTTGCAGGCCTCTGACATTCTTCTTGCATTCATGCTGTGCTGATCTTGAAACATCTAAAGCTGAATCCAGTCTTTGGTAGGGCATCAGTGCGGTCATTTGTTTGCACAGTAGGATTCTCATCCGCTGCCAGAAATCTCATGGCAGGGCTAGCTGCTGAGAGTCACCATCTATAAGAATGTACGTGTGGACTCATTTGAAGAAAGCAAGCTTTCTTACTAGTAATCAGTATTCTTCGTGATGTGTAGTCCACATGTACATTCCTGTCCCATCTGCTTTTCCTTTCTCTCTAATTCTTTTTCAGATGCAATGCTGTTGAGAGAGACTGAAATGGTGGTAGATGCACTCTCTTGTATGTCACACATGAAGCAGGAAAAGAAGGAGAAGCAAGAGTACAGGCTCTACAGATACTGCAAAAGGAAAACCTTGCAGTATCACATGGCAGGGCAGAACTATGCCTGCTGTTAGAATGTACGTGTAGACTACCTGTGTCATACATTGGTTACTGGTAAGTATTTTTTTCTACTTGATCAGGGTGATAGGATTGTCCTTGGACTTCATGGATGGAGCATCATTTGGGGACTGTAGGCTAATCTGTTGTTTTTTCCATGTTTTTGCATGGGTTGAGGACTGTAGCATTTGTGTACGCCTACAAATTGTTGCGCTTTCTCCAGTTATCAGTACTTCTCTCTGCATCATTGCTTAAGTGTTACATACAGAGTTCTGAGATTAACTCGAGTTTTTTCCTGTGGTAATAAACTATTTATTCTGTTTCAATTTACCATTAAGTTTTAAATGGCCTTTTTTCCAGCTTCTCCTCCTAAATCGCAAAATGTGTTTTTTCCATGACTAACTGATAGTTCATACTGTACAATTTAATTCCAACCTTCTAGTTCATACGTATAATTTTCAGCAACTGAAACTGTTGTTCTAATTTGGACTTGGACCTGTACCAGAATTTGAGTGGCGTCTCCTTATTTGGTCGCCAAAGGTTATTATTGCATGGATCCAAACATTTTATTAATAAATGCTAGTTGTTCTGATAGATAGTTTTTATGAAACCAAGATAATTTAGAGGTTGATCTATTGGTAGGGTGAATTACTGTCTGTCCTGTTCAGACTTAAGTTGTTGAGAACTGAAGACTTCTCTAAGATTAGAAAATGCACCTATGAACCAGTTCTACCAGCAGAGTTCTTGGTCCATGCTTGCAGCAGAGCTGGCTTTATCCTATATTAGTATTAAAGGAAATGTGCCACTTTCCATTTATGATTTCTCTTGATGTTAGTTGAACAGTGCTAAAAGTAAGGGCTATCTGTATATCACTTAAGATTGGCTAAATTAGAAAACAGTAATACAGTCCTTCATAATGGCTCTTGTAAGCCTTATCTGGGCTTCCCATCTGACATATGTTCCATGGCCAAAACATTCAAAAGATCCTGATAGAAATAAACCAACTAAACAAATTTCTGATACCTCTGGGTTTTTTGTTTTCTTTAATATAGTATGCATGACCACAGAGTACTCTGATAGTCTTGAGTTGGAAGCAGACACAATGGAAAAGGGCAGAACATTAATTTATGGCATAGTCTATGTTATTTTTCAAAGACTCTGTTTATTTTGTATTGACCCAGGTAGCCATTTTGATTTCTTTGTTAATCTTGAGTCTGAAGTGCTAAGCTAAACTTCCTTGCTCCATCGTGCCTTCTCCCTCCATATCCTTTTTTGTTTCCCTTTCGGACTAGGAAAGGACAAATCCAGACTGCTTAAGCAAGGGCTCTATTTAGCCAGAGAAACCTCTGAGAAAACAGTGGCTTCAGAAGTAAAATACAACCAGTGGCCAGAGCAAAGCTCAGTGTAATACTTGGTTTACAAGTGTGTATATTCTTGATTAAAAATAAGAAAATTTCAGTGTAGGAAGACTTCTGAGATTTCAGAAGAAAACTGGTAAGTTTAATAGCAGTAGGACCTTTATGAAATGCAATCCTTTTAATGAGTTGAAGGTCATCAAACTGAGGATAGGGAAGAGATAATATGTAGTCACAGGAGTAAGTTCAGTAAGGAACAACTCTGTGAGATGAGTTGTCTGTGGTCTCCAAATAGTAGTTGGCAGACTGGCCTGCTTTAAAAGAAAATGGGACATAACACAGAAAAATCATTGACCTGACAGTGAGAGAATAAAATACCCTAGTTTTCTCTCCATTTCTAATGTGTTTCTCACATAACTTAAGGGATGATACTATGAATACCAAAGTGTGCAATAAATAAAAGGAATGGTATGTCTGTAATTGGTATCTTCTTATTTTTCATCTTTATTCTCATTTATGCTTGTATTTGATCAAACTATATACCTTCATGTTGAAAAGCAATTGCTACAGCTTTGGATGCAGTTGCAGCTGATGTGTAGGCTGTGAAGCACTGTAAGAAAAAAAAAAAATTGCATTTGCAATCTTGCATCTTTAATCTTGGAGAACATATTACACAGGCTGTCAAAAAGATAGATAGAGCTCTCTTGCATGCTATGTTTTTGCTGTAGCTGATAGGTAATTGATATTAAAATCTTTATCTGCCTGTCAGTGGCAAAGCAAGTTCTGTGTCAGCTACTGAAGCATGCCAGTGCTGTGATTCTGTGTTCTTCCTCTCCCTTTAGCAAATGTCTGTGTTGTGAAGGTGGATGGGACTCCTTATCTGTGTAAAGCCGATGAGGTTGGGGAAATATGCGTGAATTCAGGTGCAACTGGGATGGCATATTTCGGGCTCCTCGGAATCACCAAGAGTGTGTTCGAGGTTGGTATTTCTCTTTGTAATATAAAGTTTCATCGTTACATTTCTAGTATTTCTTCCTGCAAATAAACTTACTTGTTCCTTAAACTTCCTTTTTTATTTTATTAGAAAAAGCCATGGCCAAATACACTTTGCTTCATTCTCTATCAGAACTCGAAATTCTGTCTCTTATAACTAGGGCAATGTCTCTTGTAACTAGGGAAAATGTGGGCCCTCTCCAGAATTAAATGGGAGACCTGGTTACTTGGGATATGGAGAAGTCTGAGGTACTCAATTACTTTTTTGCCTCAGTCTTCACCGGCAAGTGCTCGAGCCTCGCCGCCCAATCCACAGAAGGCAAAGGCAGGGACTGGGAGAATGAAGAGCTGTAGGAGAAGATCAGGTTGGAGACCATCTAAGGAACCTGAAGGTGCACAAGTCCATGGGACCCAATGAGATCTATCCACAGGTCCTGAGGGAACTGGCGGATGAAGTTGCTAAGCCACTATCTATCATATTTGAGAAGTCGTGGTAGTCCGGTGAAGGTCCCACTGACTGGAAAAGGGGAAATATAACCCCCATTTTTAAAAAGGGAAAAAAGGAAGACCCGGGGAACTACAGGCCAGTCAGTCTCACCTCTGTGCCTGGGAAGATCATGGAACAGATCCTCCTGCAAGCTATGCTAAGGCATATGGAGGACAAGGAGGTGGTTCGAGAAAGCCAGTGTGGCTTCACCCAGGGCAAGTCCTGCCTGACCAACCTAGTGGCCTTCTATGATGGAGTGACTACATCAGTGGACATGGGAAGGGTTACAGATGTCATCTATCTGGACCTCTGTAAGGCCTTTGACACGGTCCCCCACAATGTCCTTCTCTCTAAACTGGAGAGGCATGGATTTGATGGGTGGACTGTCTGGTGGATGAGGAATTGGTTGCATGGTCACATCCAGAGGGTAGTGGTCAACGGCTCAATGTCCAGATAGAGATGGGTGACAAGTGGTGTCCCGCAGGGGTCCATATTGGGACCACTACTGTTTAGTATCTTCATCAATGACATAGGCAGTGGGATCGAGGGCACCCTCAGCAAGTTTGTGGATGACACCAAACTGAGTTGTGCAGTCGACACGCTTGAGGGATGGGAT